TCAGTTGCCTCATTCATAAACGTTCTCATATTATTAATATTAAGATATTCAACAGAAAATCCCAATCACACCACCATTAAAAAAAAGAACGGCAATTATTTCAGGCTGTCAGCATCAAGGTGTGCAGTCATTTATGTCTATGAAAATGCCTTTGAATAGGTAATACGATGGCTCTCGCCAGCCTGTATGGGGCGCTTGAGCGCTGCTAGCTGCTAACGCTGGCAACAGGCACCGTACAATGCAGTGTTAGCATAATTATATGCCAAGGTAAGGTTTATTTTGAAATTGGTCTTCTCACCACATTGGCATGTGACTGTCTTATATGGCATGAAGAATTGTTGCTGTGGTTAGCTTGACTTCTTCTTTCTGACGGTGTACACGTAAATAAGGCAGAAAAAATTCATTGAACATTTTTTGTTTTAAACCAAGGTACCTGAGTTACTCAAGGACTCATTTCAGCCCAACATATTACACATTATATTTAATATTTTCTACTTTGTTTTATCTTTCTTGGAGCCCAATAAGGTATAGCAAGCTTCTTTCTTTTTTCCAAATCACTGCAGTATTGTCAATTTTGAAAACTGCATGATATTGCTATGTGGCGTTCTGCTGTGTCACAAGCTTGCTGCTCCCAATTTTCTTCAAGGTTAGATTCAATGACAAAAACGGTCTGATTTGTGTGTGTGTGTGTGTGTGTGTGTGTGTGTGTGTGTGTGTGTGTGTGTGTGTGTGTGTGTGTGTGTGTGTGTGTGTTGCTTTTCCAGTTGCACAGTGGCTTTGTTTAAGGAAAATTCACTTCCTAAACTAACTGTTTGTATCAAGTTGAAGTGTGGCCCACTCCTCACTATTTTCCCCAACGCCAGACCAACACACAGTGCCAGACTAAACATGAAACTTGCGTGGGAGTTATTCAAGGGCAGCGGGACAAGAATGTCAGGTCACAGGGTGTCGCGAGGAGTGTCGGGGTCCCCGGGCCCCTGAGCAGATGGCCTGTAGGAAATCCATTGAGAAAAGCAGGGGGTTGAAGGGGAAGAAGGAAGGAAGGAGGGAGTGTTCAGACTCAACGCTGTAGCTGCAGCAAAAAGGCAGACTTGTTTTGTATGCCCCAAAATTCGCACAATAGTCCAGTTCAAGTCACAGCAGAAGGCGAACGTGTGTGCCTTTAGGTTTGGCGCGCCTTGAAGCCTTTCACTCGTCTCTGTTCTGCCTGACTTAACTCTGCAAGGAAAGTGTCCGTGGCAAAAGAAAGAAACCCCTTGTTGTTGGCAGCTGCTTTCAGCATCTTTCCTCCCAACAATCACTTTGTTCCAAATTAGTTGACATGAAAAGAATGGTCGGATGGATCATGCTAAACCGCACTTGTCTAGATTAACTATTCCCGTGTTGTTTGACTGGCTATGGTTGCTCAAACAACCCATGACTAGGATTGGGTGTTGTTTGAGTTTCTCAACTCAACTGTATTTATAGAGCACTTAAAAACAACCACCGCTGTATACAAAGTGCTGTACTTGGAGCAAATGTCATACATGCAACAATAAACTCTTGCAGTCCATTTTTTTTTTTTTTTTTTTTTTTTTTCTTTGGCCTAATATCTATATTGTAAACACCAGTAGCGGTCATCAATCAATATACCGTCGAAGTGAACTCATTCATCATTCACTTTGATGTCATAATGTGATACATGTGCAAGTTGTTTTATAACAACCACGGCAGCAAACTGGGAGAAAATTTTTTAATGTATTCAATTTTTTTTTGCCTTTTTTGTGACGCAAATGAGCAGAATGCAGCAACATTGCACAGGCGTGTCATATGATCCAGTCACTTGGTTCCCAGATTGCGTTGCGAGATGCAATACATTTAATTAATAAAGTTACAAGGACATTAATACTTATGTGTCTGTCTCTTGCTAGTAGTTGAATGTGTGTCACATTTAATTTATTAAAGAAAGTAAGTCTTTTGTAAAATAGTGACACGACATGCATTGCTGCCAAAAAAAATAAATAATGGAATATAGAGACAGTAACATGTCTGTACTTGTTTTATTATTTTTTGTCACCTGTAATAGGAACATGAGACACATTTTGGGAAAGTTCGTCACTCCCTTACCAGAGCAATTATGTATAGACATCGAATGACGGACCAGCCTATAACGTTTTAATCTAATTCACTGATGACATATATTTTAATGACTATCTTCCGTATCATTACATTGTGTCTTTGCGTCCGTACAAAGGCTCGGAAGGTTACAAGTTTAGTTTACGTGCTGTGTGTACTTAGACTTGCATGGCTTAATCTTTCAGACAAGCATATGTTACTGGCAGGATCAATCAGGTTGCCTTGGAGCCAGGTCTGGGCGGGCGGGAGGGCAGCAGTGGTGGCGGGCAGCTCAAGCGCACACTCTTCGCCTGTGGCCCCTGCCACAGTGGTTGCTTCCGGAGCTGGGAGGTGGCGGCTGGCCGGGGCTGGCTGGCTGGCCTCTCCGCAGCCTCACTCGTAGGGTGTGAGACAAGCAGCACTCCCTGGAAGGCCCGCCATACAGGCTCACAGGACATCCCACCTCTGTCGCCGGCGGGCGAGGAGCGGGATGCCGACGAGCCAGTGTGCAGGACGGGTGGATAAGAGGGTGTCTCTGCCTCCCTGTCAAGCAGACATATCGGCTGGGGAAGCGGATGCCGCTGGCGCACTCGCTTGTGGACTTGCCGGTGCTGGAGAACGACTTGAGGGCCGCAGGAGCCCAACATCGGCGCTACACCTTGGTTCTTCTATTGGTAGCCAGTAGAATGCTCATCCCTTCTTTTGTCTCATCTCTTTGTGGCACCATGGTGCACACCACCATTGTCAATGTGGCATTTCTTCCTCAAATTAGCGACAAATTTTCTTTCCTGCCAAAATGGTGGTGTTAGATTTGGTGCAGTGCATTTTGGGATGTGTGGTGTCAAGCTCCGTCGGGATTTGTACATGACCCTCTGACAATTAGTGGGAGCTTCAGTTTGCTCCCTGCTCAGAGGTCTCTACATTTCTTGTAACAGAGTCTGTAGCTGGGGTGACCTTAGCATTGATGACATTGATTTTTTTTTTTTTTTTAATTGTGGATATTGAGCACCTTAAACATTTACGATTCATTGTACCAACTCTATTTCTGAGCAGATCAGAGACACATTTTTGGTTATTTGAATGTAATGAAAGTATACCGGTACTCTGTTTTTCGGACTCTAAGTCGCCCGAAAGTATTAGTTTTACCAGTCAAAAAATGCAACCCGAAGAAGAAAAAAAGTCAGATAAGTCGCTCTGGAGTATAAGTTGTTGTTTTTTTTTTTTTTTTTTGGGGGGGGGGGGGGTTATTTTACTAAAGCCCGGACCAAGAACAGTAGCATTCAGACTCGACCCCAAAATCCTCATTCTCAAATTGTGGGTACATTTGGAATATGCGCCGAGCATGCACTACTTCACTTCGACCCTTTGGAAACTCAAAGCATTGTTCCAATGTGCCATTCGGCTATTCAGAGTGTCCCAAAAAATGAGTACCAGACTCCAGTGTATCAGGCAGTACAGTACAGAAGGAAACATTTCAGGTACGAGATGCTGACTGGTTCATAACCGAGGCTGTGTTCGGAAATGAAAGGGAGGGGAATGTGCTTTTCCATCTTTTCCAAACACACTCACTCTCAGAGCGGTTGGTAAGGCGTCAGTGAATTTCCGAACGCACCCAGTGATGAACTTCATCTCGTAAATACAGAAAAGTTTCCCTTTTTGATTTAAAATGGCTTACCTTAACTACAATCCAGCATCTCCTTTTGGTGCTGTAAATCCTTGTTGTGGCGTAAGGAAGCCGCATGCTAAACGAGTGACACATCACACATTTTTTTGCCGTGACTACTACTACTTCTTCCATTTCTTCTACTTTCTTTTGGCGGTTGATAAATACTTTGGTACATTTCCACCACGTTCTTTGTTCAGGTTCCATTCTCCTGTACATGCAAGTGTTTCTTTCCCCCTGAGCATTGCAAAATTAAATACTGTAAAACCACCTTGCTGAAATGGTTAAAGTCCCCTGGTAGTTTTTGCAGATTCATGTGTTAAAGTACTCTTTAATACCATCACATAACCCCTAAAGGTTAAGGCTTTTGGCAGTGGACTGTTTGCTTAGTAACCCTATACATGCTGTATGGTGCTGTGAAAGCTTAGCATAGTTAGCACGACTTGAAACACTTCTACAAATATGAGCGAGCAACATGAGCTACATGTATGTACTGTAAGTTGTATAAAATATGACCAAAGATGCCCCATTCCTCCATAAAGAGTGCTCCCGGGACATGTCTGGTTTTAGTTCTTGCTCCTGAGCAAATTTGGCAGTGGCAAGGGGGGAAAAAAAGCCAGGATTCCAAGGTTTAAAAATAAACATATGGGTAAACTGTAGCCAGCATTCAAAAACATTTCCAACATTGAGCAAAGATTAGGTCATTTTGTACTTTGAAACATTGTACTTGGGAGGCGGAGACATGTTTCCAGTATTTAGTTTGATTGGGCGATTCAGAAGCAATTGGGTGGAGACAACGTTCAACTTGCTGTGCTTTGGCGCACACACACGCAGAGACACACGGTGGCATTATGTTACTCTACTGAAAAAAACGTGGTTCAAGTGAATGTTTTAGGATTTCATGTGAGTCCTCGTTCCCCCTGAATTAGCTGCATATGTTTTATATGAGAGAAACTTTTCCAGCTCTGCAACTCTGATGCTTTCACTTTTTGAGAACCGGCGACCAACAAGCTTTCCCCTTCAAATACTATAAAACATTCACCAAAAGTGAGACACTTTTTAATTCTAGAGTAGCCTGATTTCCATTTTAATACCATTATTCAACATGGATAGAAACACACTTCCAAAGTCCTCTGATAAATGATGGGTAGCTCTTCTATTTAATTGGTACAGAGGTTTTTATAACATGTTAAATTACAGTGCCGGGTAGTGTTATTGAAGGCAATATCTTTCTCTCTTTCAGATGATCAAGGCTACGTCGGGAATAGTGTACTTTGAGTCATGAGGTGGAGAGATCTCGCACAAAGGAGCACCACTTTGAGACACTGAGGCAGGTGAGTCTGAGGGCATGGGTTGGGAAAGCATCTGGCACTTCTCTCCAATGTCTTTTTCATTTGTATCAGCTAAAGACACAAAGTGAGAAGTATCTAAAGCAGGGGTCACTAAACAGATTTCGCACACAGGGAATGTCCTTATTTATTTACTGTTTTGTTGTTGTTGTGAGTAAATGTGTGTAGCAAATGAGCTGGCATTCTGTCACCTTCTGTGGAAATCATTCTTATTCTTCCCAATTACATACTCTCAGTGACTTGTTTTCCAGGGAGCCAGCAATGGGAAATTCTGAGAGCCAGTACAGCATCCAGGGCCTTAAAGCGTCCAGTTTTGGCTTCTCTGCGACTCAGAAGCCATACTCACTTAAGCTGGGCTCAGCCACAGATGACCCTCTGTCACCCCACGAATGGTGGAAAAGTGCACCGGTGAGCTCCGGGTATAAGGCCAAATGTGTCAGCAGAGGTTGTCTCTCCCCTCCGAAGAGCCGACAGCCGTACTCTTCTCGTCACAATGACTACGTCTGCAGAGGAGCGAGGGGTAGCCCGAATGAGCACCGCTGGCATAGGCCGACTGGTTGTGGTATACGCAAGCGACATGTGTCAGATGACTATGAAGATAATCCATACGGTGCAGAGCTCAATGGCCATGCTTTGACTGGCCAGAGAGACAAACAGCAGGTTTTAGAGAAACAGAGTAGCCCGAGAGTAGTGATCAAGAAGGACGGTAGTCTACGAGTCGAGTTCACCAACACCTCAGGCAGCGATTTCCTCCTGGATGAGGTCTCTGGTCCTGTACAGCTCCTCAAGTTCTCTGCAAATTTGGAGTCCCCCTCCACCCCTAGTTTGCCTGGTTCCGGCAGCAGCGAACCTGACGGCCTCCACAGCGGTCCTCCACCAGCCTCTACCTCCTCCACTGCCAGAACCAGTAAAGGAAGCTCTCTGAGCTCAGATGGTTCCTGGTATGATTCTCCTTGGGGGGCCAGCACAGAACTTTGTGAGCAGGACCAATCCTGTTCTTCGAACAGAACACAAGTGCACTCCCCTGTCCACCAGCTTGTCTCTTTCACTGAGCAATCTTCCACCGTGGCCATTGTCGGCCTTTATAAAGATTCTGCAATGGCTGCTACCTTCCCCACAACCAAAGACCTATCCTCCCATTTAGAGGCAGCTCCTGTTGAGCAACAGCCACACAGAGCCTCCCTTGCTTCAGTCTTGGATGGCCCCTTGGAAGAGGAATGCTTTGAGGCCCGCCAGTATTCATCATACACCCTACCCTGTCGGAGACCCAAAGCTCACACCATGAGTGAGGGTCTGGATCAGCACCCCAACCATGAACAGCATCGGGAGCGGGCGGGATCAGAGTTTGGCTTCCACAAGAAAGCTTCCATTAAAAAACACATTCGACGTTTCAGTGACTGGACAGGAAGCCTCAGTCGTAAAAAGAGGAAGACCCAGGTAATTGCGGCTTGAATTGTTTCGTATTTACGCGTTGTGTTTGTCTTTGTGTCGATCATTGGGGTGATTTCTTATCAAGCAGAGGAGCCGTAAATAACCGCGATACAGCCTTGTGTTTGGCAATACTAGCAGGTAGTTTGGCATATTCCTCTGTCATTCGCATCATATTGTGGTCAGACAAGACATACAGCCAGCACTATTTCTGTTTATCACGGAATTTTGTTGTGATGATGGAACTACATGAAAATGAACGTCTGATCAAATGATGGAAAGATGCGTTAATGTGACGGTATCTGGGTTACTTCAACTAAACCAAGATTACTTGAGAATTTTGAGTGGTTACAATTGGAACTTCAGATTATGTAGCCTCTAATGTTGGATGTTAGTTTGATTTGTTTTTATGTTTTTGCTGAAGCATTTTCTTTTTTTTTGTCTTTCTTTTTTTTTTTATGGGGGTTGGGGTCCTTATCCCCCGCGAGAAGCGTCCAGAGCGTGATTCATAGCTGTTGTAAAATTATACCTGTCAGGTCAGAGAAGATGGTGGAAATAAGAGCAACTGTTTTCTGGCTGGCTCCTGAAAGTTTTGAAGACCAATGTAATTTTTGTTCAAAACCCAAAATATATTTCTTGAAAACATTCAGTTTGACTGACTTTGACACCAATTGTTTCTCCATTTACTTCGGTTGGCCTTGCCTTGTAAAGGCTGTAACATGCTTTTCGGGAAGTTCCAAGAGAATAGCTGTAAGTAAGCCTTTGAGAGGCTCGACTGGAGTGAAACTTAATCCTCGCTCAAGACTTAGCCTCATCCTTCTATTATGTTAATGAATGACTTATGGTTGTTCTGCGTGTTATGTGGGGCAGATCCTTTGGTCTTCCTTTGCATCCCTCAGAGAGAAAATCCGCTAATAGGGATTGATGTTCGGTCATTTAGTTTTGAGAGCAAACTACAGCAAAAGAGGGCTGTGATTGTGTTTTGCGGACCCTTTTTGCTAGGTTGTAGATCCCTCGCCCTCCCCCCCTC